AGGATCGGAGGAGGAGGAGGAGGAGGAGGAGGAGGAGGAGGAGGAGGAGGAGGAGGAGGAGGAGGAGGAGGAGGAGGCGGAGGCGGAGGAGGAGGAGCGCGTCTCGCCTCGCGCGCCCGCGCCCGCGTCGCCCCCGTTGTGATTGGCGCGTCTTCTGTTGAGGTGCCCCGTCGCCGCAGTGCGATCCCTTTCGCGCGCCAGCGCCGCCGTCGGCGCCCGCCGCCCCTGCCCGCCCTGGACGAGCTTCCCGCCCCAACCCCTCGTCGCCGGGCGTCTTGCGGGGTTGCCCATTGCCTCCGCCGCGCTGGCCGCGTCGCGCGCGGCGTGTTCGAATGCAGGGCGGTGGCCTGGCGCCACCGCCGCGCGTCTGTGGCGCCGCGCGACGCCGCACTTCGCGCGGCGTCCCGCGCGAGTCCATTCGCGCTCGGCATGTCTCCATGTTGCAGAATGAATTGTCTTCGCTGCCGCCGCCTGGCGCTTCGCCCGATTCGCGAGCGACGTCTTCTCGCGCGTTTCGGTTGCGGGGTGTCGCTGCTGCGCGGCCGCGGCCCCGCGCGGCGTCTGCCGCTCCCGCACGGCCGCGCCCGGCGTTTCCCGCGCGCTTGCCCCTCGCTGCCGCCGCGCGCCCCCGGCCCCGGCGTTCGCCGCTCCTGCGCCCCCCCTCGTGCCCGTCGTTTTCCTGGGCGGCCTCTCGGTGTGTCCCGCGCCCGCGAGGTGCGCGCTCGGCGCGTGCCTCGCGCGCGGTCGTGCGTGCTCGGTGCTCCAGGCAGCGCTCTGCTCGGCGTGTCTCGCGCGCGCACGCGCGCGCGTGTGCGCGTGAGAGCGCGCGCCTGCGCGCACGATTCGTCGCGAGTCGGGCGTGATAGCCATCCAGGCCCCGGGCTCCATCCGTCCCTCTTCCCTCCTCCCTCGTTCCCCGCCAGCGCAGGCAGGCGCGCGCGGTGGAGGCTCGGCGGAGAGTGGCGCCGTGGAGGGGCTCCTCCCTCTCCTGCATCGAGCACTTGAAGGCCCGCCCCGCTGGCCTTCCCTCCTTTACAGCCCTCGGGGATGTGGCCACATGGTGAGGCCTCATTTCCAGCACGAGCGCGCACGTCAGCGTCTTACCTACCTACCTCCCTCGTTCAGTCCGGGTCTGCGAAGCCGCTGGCGCCTCAGGGTCTGGGGCCTGGGCCGCCGGGCCTTCGCAGGCATGGGGACCACCTGGCGCCTCGGGGTGGACCCGGCGCCTCCCCGGCGGCCTGTGCGCCCGCCCCTGGGTCCGCGGGGTGGACGGCGCCCCTTTTGGCTGCCTGCGCGGCGGGCCCGCTCGGTGGGGGCGCGCGGTCTGGGCAAACGTCATGCGCGGTCTGGGCCAGCGTTCTGCGCGGTCTGGGCAAACATTCTGCGCGGCCCAGGTAAACGTTGTGCGCGGCCTGAGCGATTTTTTTTTGCACGGTTTGGGCAAACGTTCCGCGCAATCTGGGCAAACGTTCTTCGCTGTTGGGGCAAACGTTCCGCACGGTCTGGGCAAGTATTCTGCGCTGTCTGGGCAAACGTTCCGCGCGGTCTGGCCAACGTTCTGCGCGGTCTGGGCAAGCGTTCCGCGCGGTTTGGGCAATTGTTCTGCGCGGTCTGGGCGCGATCTGGGCGCGCGTTTTGCGCGGTCTGGGCGAACTTCTGCGCGGTCTGAGCACGCGTTCTGCGCGGTCTGGGCGAACTTTTGTTCGCGGTCTGGGCGAGCGTACCGCGTTGCGTTTCGCGTTACCATTCTCGTCAGTTGTCATCCGTCTCCTCCCGAGGGGGCGGTCTGTGTTCGGAGAGTGCTTGGCGGCAGCTGCGCTTCGCCGAGGGCGTTCCGGGCGCGCCCGAATCCCCCTGCACGGCCGCCGGCGGCCCGACAGACAATTGGTTCAGCGAGCAGCGCCCAGCGGGGTGCTGAGCAGTGCCCAGTGGAGTTGGAGCGAGCTGAGGGCTCAGAACCCGCATTGGACGCCAAGATATCGCAGCTGATGGCAGAGTCTCAGACGTTGCGCTGCCTGGCAAGCTGGGAGTTCCGCCTCGACAGGGCCTGTCACCGCAGCGCGCATCCTGGCTTGGCAATGAAACGTGCAGAGAGTCCATGCTGCGTGAGACCGCCCATGTTCGAACGTGCCGGATCCAGAGCCATAGGATCGCTAAGCGGATCGGCCGCGATGGTCGACGCAGCGCTTGCGCGGGGCGCGACGCGCCACGCGTTGCAGGGGCGCCCCGCGCACGGTGGGCGCAATTTTGTTGACGAGCTGGTCGTCCGCGGGCGCCCGCAACCCCCCCGGGAGACCCCAACCCCGTGGAGCAGTGGGGCGCGCCGCGCCCCCCCCCCCTTTCCCCCGGGAGCAATTGTGCGCGCGCGTTGTTTCTGCGGGCGCAAGTATGGAAGTCACCCGCCGAAGTCACGACGGCTGAAGCACGCAATGACGTCCCGCCTGTCTGTGGCGCAGGCAGATGCCACCATGTGCCTGCAGCGGCAGCGAGAGGTGGCCGCCGTCGGCGCTGGCGGGGCCCTTGGCGTGGGCCCCGTCCGCGCTCGCGCGGGCACGCCCACGGCGAGGCCGCTCACGAGCGGGGCTTCGCTGGAAGCCGTGCCAGGGAAAACCGCGTGGAACAGGGGGCGCGCTGCGCCCCTCTCTCGGGCCCTCCGTTCGGAGTGGGAACGCGCGATGCCCGCGCTGTGTCCGGGCACGGCGGTCGCGATGTTCATGTTGACCCCGTGGAAAACGCATGGGACATCGTCGTCGCGGTCGTCGCTCCCGTCGTCGTCGTCGTCGTCGCCCCTCGTCGTCGTCGTCGTCGTCGTCGTCATCGCCCTCGTCGTCGTCGTCGTCGTCATCGTTGTCTTGTCGTCAGCGTCTTCGTCGTTGTCGTCGTCCTCGTCGTCGATGTCCTTGTCGTCGTCGTCGTCGTCGTCGTCGTCGTCGTCGTCGTCGTCGTCGTCGTCGTCCTCGTCGTCGATGTCGTCGATGTCGTCGTCGTCGTCGTCGTCGTCGTCGTCGTCGTCCTCGTTTTCCTCGTTTTCGTCGTCACTGGCGTCGTCGTCGTCGTCGTCGTCGTCGTCATCGTTGTCCTTGTCTTCGTCGTTCTCGTCGTCGCTGGCGTCGTCGTCGGCGTCGTCTTCGTCGTCGGCGTCGGCGTCGTCGTCGTCGTTGTCGCGCCGTCGTCGTCGTCGTTGTCGCGCCGTCGTCGTCGTCGTCGTCGTCGTCGTCGTCGTCGGCGGCGGCGGCGGCGGCGGCGGCGGCGGCGTCGTCGTCGTCGTCGTCGTCGTCGTCGCGTTCGTCGTTGACGTCGTCGCCGCCATCGCGGATATCCTGTTACCTGTTGGATGGATTGTGCTCAAGTTTCCAATGTCCCGCTTGGCCCGACCCGCCCGCCCGCGAGGGTCCGCCCGCCCGGCCCCAGTGTTTTCATGGTCCTCACCACTGTAAATGCCTCATTCCCCCCCCCCGGAAGACTGCAGTGGCCCCTCCAAACTAATTACCAGGGGCCCCCCCGAGTACGACGGCCCGCCGGACTACAATGGCCCCCCTCCTAGAGAACAAGGGCCCTTCCCCTGGACCACAGCGGCTCCTCTACGTAGGAAACAGCGCGTTCTGTGGTCGCTTGGAGGGGGGGGGGGGGTTTGGAACCGGACCCCCCCCCCCTGGATGGAGGGGGGGGGGTTCGACCCCCCCCCCTTCTTTCCCCTGCTTCCCCTCTCCTCGGGCCGGCGCTTGCGTCGGCGGCGGCTGGCGGCGGCGGCGGGGACGACGATTCCCTTTCCTGGCCCAGCGCCGGCGCCTGCGACGGCGGGCGGCGGCGGCGGGGAGCGTCGTCGACGACGACGGTGGTGGTGATGGTGGTGGTGGTGGGTTGAGGTGGTAGTGGTGGCGGTGGTGGTGGTGGTTGTGGTGGTGGTGGTGTGGTGGTTTGTTGTGGTGGTGTGGTGGTTTGTTGTGGTGGTGGTGGTTGTGGTAGTGGTGCGTGGTGGTGGTGGTGGTTTGGTGGTGGTGTGGTGGTGGTTTGTGGTGGTGGTTTGTGGTGGTGGTGGTGGTGGTGGTGGTGGGTTGTGGTGGTGGTGATTTGGTGGTGGTGTGGTGGTGGTGGTGGTTTGTGGTGGTGGTTGTGGTGGTCGTGGTGGGTTGTGGTGGTGGCGGTGGTTTGTGGAGGTGGTGCTTGTGGTGGAGGTGGTGGCGGTGGTTGTGGTGGTGGTAGTGGTGTGGTGGTTTGTGGTGGTGGTGGTGGTGGTGGGTTGTGCTGCTGGGAGTGGTGGTGGTTGTGGCCGTGGTGGTGGCGGTGGTGTGGTAGATTGTGGTGGTGGTGGTGGTGGTGGTAGTGGTGGTTTGTTTTTGTGGTGGTGGTGGTGGTGATGGTGAGTTGTGCTGGTGGTGTTTGTGGTGGCTGTGGTGCAGGTGTGGTGGTGGTGGTGGTGGTGGTGGTGGGATGTGGTGGCGGTGGTTTGTGGAGGAGGTGGTGGTGGTGGTGGTGGTGGTAGCGGTGGTGGTGGTGGTGGTGGTGGTAGTGTTGTGGTGGTTTGTGGCGGGGGCGGTGGGTTGCGCTGCTGGTAGTGGTGGTGGTTGTGGCGGTGCGGTGGCGGTGGTGGTGTGTTAG